CCACATGTGTGGGAGAGACCTCAGGAAGCTTCTGCCGTGGTTGCAGGCCATGAGATCAGAGCCTCAGGTGAGGAGGGGCAGGTTTGAGCAGTTCTCCTCTGGGAGGTGGAGAGGACACAGTCACCCTGAGGCTCCTAGACAGAATGAAGCTCTCTGGGAAGACAGAGCCTTCAAGGGAATGGGAGGGGCAAAGTCTCAGGGCTTCCCTCACCATTTAAGCCAAGACTTTCCTGTCCAGACCATAAACGCATTTGTGTGCTCATGAACCGTCAAATATCAAACTTATATCAGGACCCAGTCCTTAAGTCAGTTCACCTTTATTTGGAAGGAAATAATGGTGCTTCTACTACTAATTTCAAGGGATTTAGACAGTTACAATTTGAAATGAGATTTTCTGCTTCAGTTTCTCTGCTGGTCTGTTTCAGTCGCTCAGTCGTGTCAAACTCTTTGAGACCCCATGGACTGTAGCATCCCAGGCTTTCCTGTCCTTTACCATCTCCCAGAGTTTGCTCAAACTCATGTCCATTGAGTCAGTGATGCCATCCAACCATCTCATCCTCTGTCATCCCCTTCTCCTCCTGCCCTCAATCTTTCCTAGCATCAGGGGATTTCCAGTGAGTCAGTTCTTCACATCAGGTGGCCAAAGGACTGGAGCTTCAGCTTCAGCATCAGTCCTTCCGAGGAATATTCAGGGCTGATTTCCTTTAGGATTGACTGGTTGGCTCTCCTTGCAGTCCAAGGGACTCTCAAGAGTCTTCTCCAACACCACAGTTCAAAAGCATCAATTCTTCAGCACTCAGCTTTCTTTACCGTCCAACTCTCACATCCATACACGACTACCAGAAAAACCATAGTTTTGACTCTATGGACCTTTGTTGGCAAAGGAATGTCTCTGCTTTTTAATACACTGTCCAGGTTTGTCATAGTTTTCTTCATAGAGCAAGCATCTTTTAATTTCAGGGCTGCAGTTTCTCTGAATAGGCAACAAAACTGTTCCAAGGAGATTGTAATACCAGGCAAGACCACTAGGTGAGGAGTGCAGCCAGCTAGAGCCCAAGTCGGGGAGGAAAAGGGTACCCAGTCCCAGGGGATGCAGACACTGGGTGCTGAAATGAGAAAGGTGAAGGCAGTGACAGGCTCCTTCCTCGCTTTGTGTTCACATGCTGTGTCTGGAGCTGGGTGGTCATAGCAGAGAGGCATGAGGTGGGTGCAGTGGGTCGCAGGGAGTGTAGTGCTGCTCAAAGGTAACCAGGGTACAGGGGAAATCAGTCCTTGTTGAGCTGTTGATGCCACATCAACCATCTCCCTGGAGCTCAGGCCCAGGGCTCCAGCTGAAGGGCTGTAGGTGATGATGCCAACTGAAACTGTGGACGGGATTGCACCCTGGGCCAGCCTCTTCCTTCCTTGGACTGCACAAGGACCATGGGTTTCCTCGGGGGCATTTCTAGCAGATGGCCCCCAGACCTTCTGAAAGAGACCCAGATGGACTTCCAGTGAGGCCCAGTGGTCCCCTTCTCTCCCTCACTCCCCACCACCCTCAGCCTGAAATCCTTTCTTCTGCTTAGATGTCTCTGCCCATCCCGCTTTCCATGGATTTGCTGTCTTCCCGGTAGAAAGGATCACATTTCCAGCCCAGTAGTTCCTCTGGCTTCTTAAAAACTTTGCAGCCTCACAAGTCCCACTCAGGGATAACTGTGTCATGACCAAAACTGCAGGGGGCGTTGCTCCTGGCTTCTGCACTCATCGAGGGCACATGTGAACAGAAACCCAAGGAGGGAGACATACACCCATGTGCTGGACCCACTTTAGGATGAGAGTAGAGACCCCAAAAGTGCATCCCTTTTTCTCACCTGAGTTCCAAACCTGCAGACAGACAAAAAAGTGAGGAATTCAAAACACCACCTTTCTTCATGATAAAAGCTGGATTGGGCTTCGAGTTGTGGTTTGTGTGTGTGTGTGTGTGTGTGTGTGTGTGTGTGTAAGCTCAGTCTTATCCAACTCTCCGTGACCCCAGGGACTGTAGCCCGCCAGGCTCCTCTGTCCATGGAATTCTCAGGCAAGAATACTGGAGTGGGCTGCCATTTCCTTCTCCAGGGGGATCTTCCTGACCCAGGGACTGAATCTGCATCTCCTGTATCTCTTTCATTGGCAGGCAGATTCTTTACCACTGAGCCACCTGGAAAGCCCGGAGCTGAGGCTTAATGTATGACACAAAAAGAGATCCCTAAAACTGAACCTCAGAACTGGGCTCATCCACACAGCGTCACACAGCTCCAAGCACTCACGCCCCACCCCCGCCTCACTCCCCCAGCCCCTGGCCCCGCACACTTGACCTTGGAGGGGCTGACAGAGCCCCGGCCTCTGTAGGCAGGAGCCTGGGGAGACCCAACACGGAGCAGACTCACCCCTTCCACCCACCCCCAACCAGAGTCTCCCAGGAGTGGGGAGCAGGGGGTCCAGGCGAGCCCCGCTGACTGAGGTGCTGCCCTGGAAGGGGACCCTGGAGCCGGCCTGAGTGTAATCATGGGTCCCAGGTGCCCGCCCCCCTTCACTTCAGCTCCACGGAGGAGCCAGGGGTCTTGATCCTCCAGCCCCAGCGGCCACGGTGGCTGCTGCTTCCTACTGCCCTGCAGGTACAAATCCCAGATCCCACTGTCTCGTCTCAGGGACAGGCCTCTGGTCCCCACGGGGCTCTCCCAGCCCGGAGACCACCCCCACTACTCAAGTCTGAATGGAAGCTGCTCCTGGTGAAGCTTGTGAAGCCCGTTGCCCTGGCAAATCCTGTGCCCCGTGGTCGCTCCTCAACCACGGCCTCTCCTGCCCTGTGGGTTTCCAGGTCTGATAACCGGGCTCCTCCTGTGATAGCAGAAACGCTCCCACATCAGTGCTCCTCGCAGCCACGGAACATGCCCCAGGCGTCTCCTTATTTCCTTCAGTCACTCCAACAGGGTCTTCTCTTTTTTTTTTTTAATAAAGTTATAGGTGATGTTGTGTTAATTTCTACCTTACAGAAAAGTGATACAGTTGTACACATATATCAAAGTGAGTTAGTCACTCAGATGTGTCCGACTCTGTGCGACCCCATGAACTGTAGCCCACCAGGCTCCTCTGTTCATGGGATTCTCCAGGCAAGAGTAATGGAGTGGGTTGTTATTGCCTTCTCCAGAGGATCCTCCCGACCCGGGGATCGAACCCGGGTCCCCTGCATTCCAGCCAGATTCTTTACCATCAGAGCCATCAGGGATGCCCATTTATTTATACATTCTCATATATATATATATATATATTTTCTTTTCCATTATGGTTTATCATAGGACCAACCAGCATCTGAATTTGGTCCTTCCTTTCCCAAACCTGAGAGGGTCTGACGTTATTTCCTGGATCAAAGAAACTGCGTTCTCCACAGGGGACTTGGTGTGCGTCAGACCCCCCCACTGCTCTCACGGGTGTGGTGCGGGCCCAGCTTTCTCTGACCCACGGGAAGTTCTCCTCCAGGAGCCAGGTGCAGCCCCAGCTCGGGAGTGTCTAGCCTGGGGATGGTCCAGCCTCAGCTAAGCGGCCTCTAATTCCACGTTCTCATCTCGGTGACCCTAAGCAAGCCCACAGAAAAGCTGGCAGGGTTATGTCAACATGCAGCATGACAATGACCTGGTCTATCAGCCGCCCAGGTACAGAGAGGAGAGAGAGGGACCCTAGACAAGGCAGGTGTGGTCTGTGCCAGCCTTGTGTGGACCCTGTGCCCCATGGAGTCAGGAGCGGAGGACAGTTCTGCCCAGTAGAGGCTCAGTTCAATAGTCCTGCTACGCCTGGGGGGGGGGGGAGGCAGGATGGAGTCCACACCTATGCAGGACCTGGTACCACTGAGACCCAGCCCACCAGTAAAGATGTCCTCATTGGAGTTCTGAGTTCTGTCCTGACCACAGTGAAAAGAAAGAAGTGAACAGAGAGTAGAAACCCTACTTTTTTTTTTTTTAAATTAGCCATGGATTTACATGTATTCCCCATCCCAGTCCCCCCTCCCACCTCCCTCTCCACCCGATCCCTCTGGGTCTTCCCAGTGCACCAGGCCCCGATCTTCACACATGATTTGGTTTCATGCTGACTCTCGATCTGGTCACTTCTCATCCTTTGTGGAAGGATCTGAGTGAAATCTGAGTGAAATTCTGAATTCACAGAATCTGAGTGAATAATCTATGGACAGACACAACTCCAGGGCCAAGGGTCACCCCGTCAGCTGGGGTTACCTGCTCGTTCATTTCTACATGATCTGGGTTCTAACCTCCCTTTCGGTCTGGAGAGAAGCCTCTTGCCCCTGCATTCCGATGACAGTGTCCCAGGTTTCTGTTCATCACCCCTGGCTATGCTGGTGAAGCAACCCTGTAGTCGGGGCACCTTAGAGCCTTGCACCTAAGATGTCAACCCTCATCACCAACTGGGCTCCAGTCTCCGGCCCCAGAGCTTTGGAGGTTCTTCTCCTACCCCTGGCTGATTTCTAGGAACGCTAAAACTGTTCTCTCCACTTTATAAAGCTGAGCATTTGGGCTCACTCCTGCTCAGTGCCCAAGTCCTGGGACCTGACCTGGTTGGTCCAGGCTCTCCTACAGGCTGGAGAGAAGATCTGAAGTCTTTGTCTTTCTCTCTTCCCTCGACAACCATCTCAGCAAAGGGGAAGGGGCACACCTGAGTTTGCCCTTGACCTCATACCAAACTCTGAACTGCTCTGAGAAGGCAGAACTGCCCTGAGGACAGTTGGGATCACTCAGATGTTGTTGCTGTCTTTGCACAAACAGGTGGCCCCCTGGGGGCTGACCCTGCCCCTCCCTTGGCCCACCAGGCCCTGAGGGTCACTCCTTGTCTTGCATCCCTGGGACCACAGGTCTTGATGGCTGGAAGCACCAGGGAGCTGTGGGTGGAGGGAGGGAGCTGGTATCTGCCAAGCACAGCTCACTGGCAAGTACTTTCACTTCTCTCTTCCCCTCTATGGGTGGAGCCACGGGCCCCTGGTGAGACCCAGAGCTGACTTCCTGCTCGGGCTCAGGGCTCAGGCTCAGGGCTCCGGGCGGCCTCTAGGAACCCAGGCTGGGGAGACTGGAAGAATTGAATCGGAGGCCAAGCGCAGGCCCAGGCCAGGCTGGGCGGCAAAATGGCCGGAGAGGGCAGAGAGCTCAGCACCAGGTCAGTCTTTCTCCCCCTTCCTTCCGCCTTTCCCTGTGGCCAGCTGCTGTTCAGTGCTGTCTTTGGACTCTGCACTGAACCTTTGCTTTGCACCTGGTGTAGGGGAACCTTTGCCTGCCGTTTAAGCGTGGACAGGAATGTGTGATGAGGAAATGGGATTTTTAACTGCAGCAGGGCGCCTGCTGGTTGGGTCCTGCCTTCACAGCACACATGACTGCTTGTTTTGAAAATACTGCTTGGCTGGCAGGTCTGCCTGAAGGCACCTTGTCCTTTATGACGCATTATTTCCTAGTGACCCCAGATCGCTCTCGTTTCCCTCACATCAGTTCTACCTTTGCATAGATCATTTCGAAGAAGACAGTTTAGAAAACATGAGATTCAGGGTAACCCCCTGACTTATTTTAAAACCCTGGGTGGTGTGGGCTCGTGTCTGTCCTGTGGACAACACCTCTGTCAGCTCTGGAACTAATCTCGTTTCTGACTGGGGGTACTGCGCTCCTCCTCCAGCCATCCTGAGCAAAGAAACAAAAAGAAGAGAAATGCCCTAAACTGCCCAGGGCTAGCACAGGCTGAGTAATTTTATGTTTGGTTTCATTTTCTGTTCTGGAACAGGTTACATCTCTACAAGGAAAAAAAGTAGTGTTTCTATCTTTCTCTAGTAATGCGTCAGAAATGACATTACCTAATATTTGAAATTTTTAATTTTTTTAATACAAAAGAAATGCATATGGAGTCTGGCTCATAAAATTTCAAACAATACGGAAGTGGAAAGATGGAAAAAGTCCTGTTCACAACTCACCCCCTGGCAGCTTCCAATCCCAGTCCTATTAGAGTTGCAGGCATAACCCTCCAGATTTGTTTCTATGCACTTATGTATATAACTTATTTTCCTAAATACATAATTTAAGCCCTGTTTTTTAAAACATGGAATTATACTGTAAATACCTTTTTTCATTTTCACTTAGTTTAATAGTGAAAATCATAGAAATTTTCTTTATAATCATAGGTTTGCCTTATTCCTTTTAACAGTCATATATAATGCTATTCTATAGAACGGACACACCCTGGTTTTATGTTGTTGTTGTTTGTTTATTTCTTTAATTGAAGTGTAGTAGTTTTACAATATTGTGTTTGTTTCAAGTGTACAGCAAAATAATTCTGTTGTACATATGTGTGCATATATGTATGTGTATATGTGTATATATGTATATGTATACACATATATATTATTTTTCATTCTTTTTCCATATATGTTATTACAAAATACTGAGTAAAGTTCCCTCTGCTACAAATAGGTCTTTGTGGTTTGTCTATTTTATATAGTATTGTGTATATATTACTCCAGAATTCCTAATTTATCCCCCCCTCCACATGCCCCCTCTGGAAACTATAAGTTTGTTTTCTGTGTCTGTGAGTCTGTTTCTGTTTTGTAAATAAGTTTATTTGTATTTTAGATTCCACATATAAATGATATATGATATTTGTCTTTCTCTGACTTAATTCACTTAATATGATAATCTCTAGGTTCATCCATGTTGCTGCAAATGGCATTGCATTTTTTTCTGACCAAGTAATATTCTGTTGTATGCATATACCACACCAAGTAATATTCTGTTGTATGCATATACCACGTCTTCTTTATCCATTCCTCTGTTGATAGATATTTAGGTTGTCTCCATGTTCTGGCTACTGTAAATAATGCTGCAATGAATACTGGGTTGCATGTATGTTTTTGAAGTATGGTTTTCTCTGTACACATGCTCAAGAGTGGGCTTGATGAATCATATGGTAGTTCCATTTTTAGTTTTTTAAGGAACTTCCATACTGTTCTTCATAGTGGCTATACCAATTTACATTCCCGCCAATAGTGTAGGATTCCCTTTTCTCCACACCCTCTTCAGCATTTATTTGTAGACCTTTTGATGATGGCCATTCTGACTTACACCCATAGTTTTAAAACCACTCCACCACTCTACTGACAGAACTTCAGGTAATTTTCAATTGCTCACTTTTACCAACAAGCTATGATAACAAAGATAATTTATTTCTTTATATTTTTTGCACATATGCAAGTGTTTGTGTTGTGTCAATAACCAAAAAAGTTATAGTGCTGAGGCAAAGGGCACTCATATTTAATTGTTTATAGATTCTGCCAAACTGCTTAAGTAGCTGAACCAATATATCTTCCTACCAAAAGTTAGGCTCCCCTAGTGGCTCAGAGGTAAAGAATCCATCTGCTAATGCAGGATAGGCAGGTTCAATCCTTGGGTCAGGAAGATCCCCTGGAAGAAGGAAATGGCAACCCATTCCAGTACTCTTGCCTGGAAAATCCCATGAACAGAGGAGCCTTCAGGGCTACAGTCCATGGGGTTGAAAAAGAGTCAGACACAACTTAGCGACTAAACAACAACTCAAAATTAGACAAGCCAACTCCCCACACCCAAACTTTGCAGATGTGTTAGATAAAGAGTGGCATCTTATTAACTTCATATCAGTTCAGTCGCTCAGTCATGTCCAACTCTTTGCAACCCCATGGACTGCAGCACACCAGGCTTCCCTGTCCATCACCAACTCCTGGAGCTTACTCAAACTCACATCCATTGAGTCGGTGATGCCATCCAACCATCTCATCCTCTGTCATCCCCTTCTCCTTCTGCCTTCGATCTTTCCCAGAGTCAGGGTCTTTTCAAAGGAGTCAGTTCTTCGAATCAGGTGGTCAAAGTATTGAAGCTTCAGCTTCAACGTCAGTCCTTCCAATGATCTCCTTTAGGATGGACTGGTTGAATCTCCTTGCAATCTAAGGGACTCTCAAGAGTCTTCTCAAACACCACAGTTCAAAAGCATCAATTTTTTGGCACTCAACTTTCTTCATAGTCTAAGATCCATACATGACTACTGTAAAAACCATAGCCTTGACTAGATGGATCTTTGTTGGCAAAGTAATGTCTCTGCTTTTTAATATGTTATCTAGGCTGGTCATAGTTTTTCTTCCAAGAATCAAGCATCTTTTAATTTCATGTCAGCAGTCACCACCTGCAGTGATTTTGGAGCCCCCTAAAATAAAGTCTCTCACTGTTTCCCAATATATTTGCCATGAAGTCTTGGGGCTGGATGCCATGATCTTAGTTTTCTGAATGTTGAGCTTTAAACTAACTTTCCCACTCTCCTCTATCACTTTCATCAAGAGGCTATTTAGTTCCTCTTAGCTTTCTGCCATAAGGGTGGTGTCATCTGCATATATGTCATTATTGATATTTCCCCTGGAAGTCTTGATTCCAACTTGTGCTTCATCCAGCCTGGCATTTCTCATGATGTACCCTGCATATAAGTTAAAAAGGCAGGGTGACAATATACAGCCTTGATATACTCCTTTACTGATTTGGAACCAGTCTGTTGTTCCATGTCCAGTTCTAACTGTTACTTCTTGACCTGCATACAGATTTTTCAGGAGGCAAGTAACATGGTCTGGTATTCCCATCTCTTTCAGAATTTTCCAGTTTATTGTGATCCACACAGTCAAAGGCTTTGGCATAGTCAATAAAGCAGAAGTAGATATTTTTCTGGAACTCTCTTTCTTTTTTGATGATCCAGTGGATGTTGGCAATTTGATCTCTGGTTCCTCCACCTATTCTAAACCCAGCTTGAACATCTGGAAGTTCACAATTCACATACTGTTGAAGCCTCTCTTGGAGAAATTTAAGCATTATTTTACTAGTATGTGAGATGAGTGCAATTGTGCATTAGTTTGAACATTTTTTGGCATCGCCTTTCTTTGGGATTGGAAAGAAAACTGAAATTTTCCAGTCTTGTGGCCACTTCTGAGTTTTCCAAATTTGCTGGCATATTTAGTGCAGCACTTTCACAGCACCATCTTTTAGATCTGAAATAGCTCAACTGGAATTCCATCACCTCCACTAGCTTTGTTCTTAGTGATGCTTCCTAAGGCCCACTTGACTTCACATTCCAGGATGTCTGGCTCTAGGTGAGTGATCACACCATCATGGTTATCTGGGTAATTAAGATTTTTTTTGTATATTCTTCTGTGTATTGTTGCCATCTCTTCTTAATATCTTCTGCTTCTGTTAGGTCCATACCATTTCTGTCCTTTATTGAGCCCATCTTTGCATGAAATGTTCCCTTGGTATCTCTAATTTTCTTGAAGAGAACTATTGTCTTTCCCATTCTATTGTTTGCCTCTATTTCTTTGCACTGATCGCTGAGGAAGGCTTTCTTGTCTCTCCTTGCTGTTCTTTGGAACTCTGCATTCAAATGGGTATATTTCCTTTTCTCCTTTGCCTTTAGCTTCTCTTCTTTTAATAGCTATTTGTGAGGGCTCCTGAGACAGTCGTTTTGCCTTTCCTTTTCTTGGGACTAGTCTTGATCGCTGCCTCCTGTACAATGTCATGAACCTCCCTCCATTGTTCTTCAGGCATTCTATCAGATCTAATCCATTGAATCTGTCTGTCACTTCCACCATATAATCGTAAGGGATTTGATTTAGGTCATACCTGAATGATCGAGTGATTTTACCTACTTTCTTCAATTTAAGTCTGAATTTGGCAATAAGGAGTTCATGATCTGAGCCACAGTCAGCTCCTGGTCTTGTTTTTGCTGACTGTATGGAGCTTCTTCATCTTTGGCTGCAAAGAATATAATCAATCTGATTTTGGTATTGACCATCTGGTGATGTTCATGTGTAGAGTCTTCTCTTGTGTTGTTGAAAGAGGGTGTTTGCTATGACCAATGCGTTCTCTTGGCAAACTGTTAGTCTTTGCCCTGCTTCATTTTGTACTCCAATGCCAAATTTGCCTGTTACTCCAGGTATCTCTGTCTCCTGTTAACTTGATTCTCCTAATTACATGAGAGATTGAAAAATTTTTGTGTTTTCTATGCATTACTGGTTAATTTATTGCCAATGTGAGTTTAGGTGATCATTCTTTCTTTAACAATAAGAATTTGCTAAATATTCTGAAGGTTATGAATATACTTTTCTTGCCTTT